CATCCTGGAGAAGAACTTTCCTTGTTTCTCAGCCAGAAGGGCTCTGTGGGCGTGGTTATTCTGAGGACCCTGGAACAAAGGCAGGGCCACTCGGAAGTGTGACACCTTTGATCTCTACAACATTCACGAGCTCTCAGAGGCTGATAAACTTGAGTCAGAAAAGCCATTGTCTTTACAGTTTAGTCTCAGAATTAATACCCTGTCCCACCTCTGCTTCAGTGAAGGGAATATTCTTGGGCTCATATCATCACACACACTGTGTAACCATCTGTGACTGTCAGCCAACCACATCTAGAGCAGGGACAGCAGCGCTGAGGCCTGCCACAGCATTTTTAGGGGCCCCCGGCTCTGGTGCTAGCTGGGGCCACTGGCCGGGGACAGCGGTAATGCTGCTACCCTCCACCAGGGATCGGACCAGCCAAGCCAGGTGGAGAGGCTGGTCCTGGGGCACAGACCACGGGCACAGGTTGCAAGGGAAACTCCACCCTCCTGCCCAGAGGTGCCCTCTACAAACCAGGAGGCGGTCGACAGAAGCCACAAGGCAGGAATTTGGGCTGATCTGGAGTTTGGGTGACACGAGGTCTGCCTACCGCGGCCCCATGGCCCCCAACACCAACCTGAAGCAGTCTTTCTCCCATGCTCACTTCCCTCTGGCTGGTGAACATCGGCTCCTCTACAACTACGGCAGGATCAGGCGAGTTCCTGTGTGTGTATTGGTGTCCAAGGAGCTCCTGGCTCCCAGATAGGCTGAGCTCAGCCTGGAGAGTCAGCGCAAAACCAAGGTGAGCCCACCGCCTGGCCTGTGTCCAGAAGGTTCCTATCTCCCTCCACCACACCTCCCCGCCTCTCCCACCCCCTAAGCCACGCCTGGCGTCCTCACCTCTCTACCCCTGCTGCCCCGCTGCCAGCCACTCAGCCACCGCCATCCTGCCATCCATGCCACCTGCCGTGACCCAGGCCCAGGCTGGGAGCAGTGAGATGAGAACATCAGGAGTCGGCGGAGTGGACTCAGAGCTGCGTGAAGGGGCGGCGTAGTGGCCACCAGGCACTGTGGCATGGACTAGGGGATCAAGGGGCACACACCACAATATGTGCGTCTGTGGCTCGCTCTGTATGACTTAGGACAGGGCTTGTCCTCTCCGTGCTTACCTTTACTGTGCTCTCTGAAGTGAGAGGAGGATCAGATATGCTTTGTGGTGCCTTTGGAGCTGGAACTGCAGGATCCCTCATGTGGCCGTTTGTTGTATTCCCCAGAGGCCCAGTGCACTCATCCCCAGCTGGCTAAGCCAGGTGGGGAGGAAGCCACCACTATAACTCTGCCCCTTTCCCAGGCCCCTCCTTACGCGCTCTGCAGATCAGGAGCAGCCTGGTGGCGCTGCCAGTCCTGTGTGTCTGCCTGGCCTGTTGTAGGCACAGCCTCCTGAAGAGTGCCCTGGCATCCACTGTACCACTGTAGAGGAGGGGGCCAGCCGGGGTCCTGCCACCTGGACACAGTGCTGTGGTGGGAAGTCCCAGGCCTTGGCAGAGGCATACAGAGCAGGCGTGAACCAGGCTGGGAGGAAGAGGCAGGCTGCTCCACCTGGGGCCCACCTGCACAGTGGAGGCTTATCTCTGGCTTCCTGTCTGTCTCTGCATCTGTCTGCCCCTCCCTGTCCCTGCTGTGATGTGTGCACCCTGCCTGCCCACCCACCCCACCCACCACCGGCAGACTGAGTGCCCTACAAGGGTGCAGGCTTGGAAACCTGCTCCTTCTGCCTTTTGGGCCAAGCCCTGGACCTGGGGTGTCAGAACCTGAGCCAGCATCCCAGATCTGGTGGTGTCTGCCCCTGGAGCTTCGCCAGCCACGGCCACTCCGACTCAGGAGCTGCAGTCTCTTTCCAAACAGAGGCCTTCCCAGGCACCCTCAGGGATACCCCAGTCCCCACACCCTCCCGGTTCTGCTTCATGCCACCCTTGCTGCCAGCCTCCTCTGTCTAACAGCAGCCCAGAGGCTGACCCCAGAGCATGACCACAGCACACCCCATCCTCAGCCTTCTTTCCCAGGCCCTCCCAAATGCCCAGGAGGACTCTTGGAGAAGAGAAGATACCCCAGCTTCTGTGGCTGAGCCTTCCCCTCCTACACGGCAGAGTCCCTTTCACCTTACACCTGGATTTGGGTCTTTGGGATAGCCAGCAGGCCTGGCCCCTCTGTTAGTGTCTCCCTCTTTCAACTTCCTGGGTCCGCCGGCTGGTTCACAGGCTGCTGGAGAAGGCAGCTGGAGGCTCAGCAACTGGCAGAGGAGGCCAGAGGAGGTGAAGTGGAACAGGTGCAGGTGGAGGCAGATGCACAGGAGAAAGGTGCAGCCAACCCCAGGAGGATGATTGCTAAGCAGAAGTGAGACCTCGCCACTCCTGCTGCTGGAGCAGCCAGCTGCAGAACCGGGGGCCCCGGGGCTGCTGAGGCACCAGGTTAGCTCAGCCACTTGCCTGGCGCCTCACCCGCATAACCATCCCTTCTCTCACTTTCTTTGCAGCCCAGTCATCTCTCAGGATCCGCTAACCTTTTCTCCCTCCCACCACTGCCTCCTCTCCTTTTCGCTGGAACACTCATCTTCATCACCTCTTCTTCCTCCTGGATCTCTGCATCTGCACCCTGCCTCTTCCCTCTCTGCCCTGTCCGGGTGCTACTCTCTGCCTGCTCCGCCTCCATCCGGGTCTGCCTGGTCCCAGCCTCCGTGCCCTCCACCCAGGCCCCCTGGCCTCCCGCCAGAGCGTCCTGCCTACCGCCTCCTGCGCCCCTTCTGGTCACCTCTCCTGCCTCCAGCCGGGAGGAGGGCGCAGCTGCCTCCTCTGTGCCTGCAATCCTGCCGGGCACCACTGAGGCTGGGCCCGGCCGCAGGCCTGCCCCCGCCTCCTCCTCCCGGCCTCCTCCTCACGTTTCCTCCTTTTTTTTTTTTTTTTTTGGGGTTCAAAAGTCGCACTCTCTCAGACCTGAGGCTGAGCTTGCAGTGAGGCTTCTCCTCGGCCTCGCCCGCCCCAGAGCTTCACCATCCCTGGTTTGTGGCGGTGCTGGAGGGTGCTAGAGGATCAGACAGGGCTGTCCGGGGGCTAGAGGATCAGACAGGGCTGTCCGGGGGCTAGAGGATCAGACAGGGCTGTCCGGGGGCTAGGGGATCACGCAGTCCTGTCCGGGGGCTAGGGGATCACGCAGGCCTGTCCGGGGACTAGGGGATCACACAGGGCTAGGACTCATCCAGGGGATAGGGGATCTAAGATGAGACTTACTAGCTGTGTGACTTTGAGAAAGTGACCTAACCCCTCTGTGCCTCCATGCCCCCATCTGTGAAATGGGGGATCATAGCACCCACCTCACCGAGCTGTCATGAAGATAAAAGGAGTTAATAGCAATGCATCATGGAGTTCAGTGCCTGGCCGATGGATGTGGGGTGCGGTGCTAGCTGTCTGTCACCTGCAGGGCTCTGCCCAAGGCACTGGGGACAATTCTCGCAATCAGATAGCAGCACTCCCTGACCTCCTGCTCTGTGTTCGGTCCTGTGTGGGCCCCGGGGACAGAGGGCAGATCAGAAATGTGAGCCCCATCTTAGCCATTTCAGGCGGCAATCATGAAGTACCATAGATTGGGTGGCTTGTGAAAATCAGAAATTTCTTTCTCTCGGTCCTAGAGGCTAGAAACCCGAGATCGGGGCACGGTGGCAGCTTCTGGTGAGGACTTTCTTCTGGGCTGCAGACTGCTGACCTCTGGTTGTCCTCACATGGCAGAAAGAGAGGCAGCTAGCCCCCACCCGCCCCTTCTCGAGAGCTTGTTTGGAGGTTCTAGCAGGGCAGCGCAGCTACTCACACACCCTTGACCAAAGACTGGTCCTCTATCGGGGGTGGTCGCCCTCTTCGACGGAGCTGGCAGCTTTGGGAGGGACACACCTGGAGTGGTGAGGGAGGAAGGGGACATGCACCTAGCCAGCCAGATCCACTAAATCAACCCTGGCGATTCAGTGGGGTGACAGATGTCACAGCCAGATCACCCTCACATCCAATCAGCCTTTCTTATAGGAAGACTGATCCCACCCTGGGGACTGTATCCCCTGATCTCATTACCTCCCCTTCTAATCCCATCACGGTTTTCAGCAGGTGGATTTTTGGGGAACACACACATCCAGCTCATAATGAGCCCTGTCCCCAGGGAGCCCAGAGGCCAGTCAAGGAAAGGGCCCGAAGGTCCTTGCCTTCTGGGAGCCTAGGGGTGTCTAAACAGCTGGAGGCTCATTGCTTCACTGGTAGGCTGACATCTTCATCTCCCAGATTAACTTAACTGTCAGATGGGGACAGTAAGGCCGGCTCTCCTCATATCCCTGGGACTTGTGATGAGCTCGTGTGGGGTGTTGCAAACTGTAAAGTGAGGCAGTTGGGGGAACGTGTGGTCACAAGGGTATGTACTTACAGTGGGAAGACATGGGCTCTGGAGTCTGCGGTGCTTGAGTTCCCTCTGCCACTTACCAGCTGTGTGACCTTGGACAAGCTGCTTCTCTTTGGGAGCCTCAGTTTTCCCAGTTGTTCAGTGCGGATGATGAAAGTACCTCCTTCTAGTTCTGAGAATTCAAAAATGTAATGCACCTAGCACTTACAGTGTGCTTAATAAATAGGAGCACATGATCGGGAGTTAGGCAGGGCCCTGCTCATGGTGACATTCTGGGGATCAGTCCCAATGACCCTGCTGTCTCTTGATGGCCCTAAAGCTGCCCCAGACTGTGGCCTGGCAGGTGCCCCTGGGTCACCGCGCTCAGCACAGCAGAGCTATGTGGCAGCCTCTCAGCCCCTTCCACAAGAAGTGTGGGATCCAGTGAAGGAAATGCTCCCTTTTGCTTGACCCCTGAACTCACAGACACTCAGCTCACCCTCAGGGTGGGTGATTGGAGCAGGAGGTGGGTTTCAGGGTGGAGGGAACAAGAGGAGAATGGGGCATGGAGGCAGAAAGAGTGACCTGGGATCTGTTCTGTCTGTGCCAGGGGTCCTGGAGGAAGCCGAGTTCTACAACATCGGCCCACTGATCCGCATCATCAAAGACCGGATGGAAGAGAAGGACTACACGGTGACCCAGGTCGGGAGCAGGGGCAACATACATGCCAGGGCAGGGGCCGGTGTGGAGAGGGAGGCTGGGAGACGGAGTGGGAGGCACAGGAGGTTGGAAAAGACAGGACCAGTGTTTATCATGGGGAAACCAGGCTGGCCTGTAAGGAGAGGCGTGGTTGTTGGGCTCCCAGGCTGCCCAGCACAGCCCCAGACTGGGAGATGGACACTGGGGTTCAGTCCCTGTCTCAGCCCCATTTGCTCTGTGATGTTGGGCCAGGCTCGCCCTCTCTGGACCTTGATTTCCTCTTATGGGATAGAGAGGGGTGGGAATGGCACACCCATCCCTTCCTCATAGGCAGAAGGGGGTCAGTGTGGAGGTACAGGGTGCCCTGCAGAGGGCAATGCAGGATTAGCAAATTGTGCATTTCGTGGCATCAGATGGTCGCCTGGTGGGCTCGGCACAGGCTGTTGGGGCTGGCGTTTGTGAGCCTGGAGCCTGGGCCTCCCTGGCCAGTCTGCAGGAAGAGGGAGGGAGATTTTCTGCCTACTCTTGGGGATGTGTAAGGGTTGGGGGACAGGTAGTGAGGAACCATCTCCCAGGCCCACGGGATTGAAGAGGGGAGGCTTCGTGTCTCCTTGAGGGCCTGACTCCTTGAGGGTGACCCAGAATGTTCCCCAAGCCCTACCCATGTTCTTTCTTGAATTACCTGTGTTCTGGTTCTGTCTCCACCCTTGAGCTGGGTGACCTTGGGCAAGTAACTGGACCTCTCTGAGCCTCAATGGAAAGTCCCATAATGCCTAGGATTCTTGGAAGGATTAAGTGAGATGGCGTCTGGTGAATGCCTGGTGAGGAGCAGGCACTCAGAGCATGGCTGCCTCCCCGCAGCCACCTCTTCTTTCTCTTCCTCTCTCCTTCTTTGGGTATGTTGCGGGGGTGGTGGCAGGAGGTGCTCATGCCCCTCCTGGGGTGCCTGGTGCTCCCACAGGTGCCCTCTATGTGACCCTTCTGCCCCCAGGTCCCGCCTAAACACGTGTACCGCGTGCTGCAGTGCCAGGAGGAGGAGCTCACGCAGATGGTCTCCACCATGTCTGATGGCTGGCGCTTTGAGCAGGTGCGCTGGGGATGGGCTGTGCCACCAGGACCACCCTGGGGCCTCCTGGCCTCTGACCAAGCAGGCCCCTCCCTTCCTGCAGCCCCAGCCTTGGGTTCCCCACCACAGTCCCCGCTGCCCCAGGGGTCCTCTGAAATCAAACTAAACAAGGTTAGGAGAGACCACACTTTGTGGCAGGTTGACCGAGAGAGAGAGGACAGGAGCCCCAGTGGCCACAGGGCAGCATGGGGCATCCTTGTTGGTGGGAGTCCTCACAGCAACCAGGTGGTGATCTGTCTGGTGGCATGAGCGAGTCTCTGGCCCCCGAGTGACAGCCCAGGTACAAGGAGACCAGATCCACATAGGTGAGTGGAGTCCACCTGGAGTCAGCGCCTCTTAGAACTGAGTCAGCACCACGTGATCCAGCAGTTCCTGATGCACAGTTTTCAGGGTCTCTGCAGGGGACATGGCCAGCGGCCAGCATTGCAACATGCAGGGGAGCCCAAAGCAGTGGCTTCCCGTGAGGTCTTTGTGGTGAGCGATGGTTCCTCCCAGTCCAGATGCAGTTTACCCATCGGGAGATCCTTATCCCAAGGCACTTTATCCCTAGTCACGCAGCTGACCTCCTGCCTCTCAGGTTTCCAGAGGAGCAGAGCCAGAAAGTGAGCCCAGGGCCAAAAGTGCCTTTAGAGAAGGAGAGGGTCTTGGCTAACCTTTCTCTACACCCACCCACACGCTCCCTGGCACATGGAGACTGCAAGGCAGAAGGTCGGGGCCCCCAGGATGGCCTGGAGGGATGGAAGAATGGGCCCAGTGCAGAGCCAGAGGCCTGGCTTCACCCCTGGGCCTCGCCACGGACATGCCTGCCACGTTGGGCAAGTTGCATCTCCTCCGCGGGCCCATTTCCTCATCGGTGAAGTGGGTTAACAGTACCTCCTCTGTAGGACTGTTGTGAAGATTAGAAGGGCCATCAGTAAAGCTTACAGCCCTCCATAGGACTCCCTATGTTGGCACTAGTGTCGTGCAAATCATTAGAAATCCATATTGAAGTCTGCGACCCTCAGAAAGGACTTGGGACCCCCGATGCCATTCCCTGCTCCACCCCTTCCTGGCTGTGAGGCCTTCAGCAGGCCTGAGAGTCCCTCCAGGGTCCCTGAGAGCTGAATGAGATTCATCACCTGGAAGAACTTTCTTATTTCTTAGCCAGAAGGGCTCTGTGGGCGTGGTTATTCTAGGGACCCTGGAACAAAGGCAGGGCCACTCGGAGAGCCTCTGGGCGTCTCTGGCAATTGCACAGGCTCTCAGAGGCTGAGCAAGCAGGCCAGGGGCCATTGGTCATTTGCCGTTTGGTCTCAGGAGTGGACCACCTGTCCCACCTCTGCTTCCAGGAGTGAAGGGAATATTCTGTGGGGCTCTACCTTGTCAATGCCACCCTGCAACCTTGTCCTGGGGCTGTGTCAGCCACATCTAGAACGGGGGACAGCCGCCCTTTAGAGGCCTCTGCCTGCATTTAGAAAAGGGCCCCCTGGCTCTGGTGCTAGGCTCGGGGTGCTGGCGGGGACAGCGGTAATGCTGCTACCCTCCACCAGGGATCGGACCAGCCAAGCCAGGTGGAGAGGCTGGTCCTGGGGCACAGACCACGGGCACAGGTTGCAAGGGGGAAGACTCCACCCTCCTGCCCAGAGGTGCCCTCTACAAACCCAGGAGCGGTCCCGGCAAGCCACAAGAGCAGAACCTGGGCTGGTATCTTGATTTGAGTGCCGAGGTCTGCCCTACCCGGCCCCATGGCCCCCAACACCAACCTGCGTCTTTCTCCCCATGCTCCGCCCCTCTAGCTGGTGAACATCGGCTCCTCCTACAACTACGGCAGCGAGGACCAGGCCGAGTTCCTGTGTGTGGTGTCCAAGGAGCTCCACAGCTCCCCGAATGGGCTGAGCTCAGAGTCCAGCCGCAAAACCAAGGTGAGCCCACCCGCCTCAGCCTGTGTCCAGAGAAGGTTCCTGTCTCCCTCCACCCTCCCCGCCTCTCCCACCCCTGCGCCCGCACCATCCCTCCACCTCTCTACCCCTGCTGCCCATGCACAACCCCATGCTCACAGCCACCGCCATCCATCCCATGCCACCTGCCGTGACCCAGGCCCAGGCTGGGAGCAGTGAGATGAGAGCATCCCAGGGTGCGGCCGGAGTGGACTCAGAGGCTGCGTGAAGGGGGCCGCGTAGTGGCCACCAGGCACTGTGGCATGGACTAGGGGTCAGGGCACAGCGTGGCACTCTGTATGACTTAGGACAGGGCTTGTCCTCTCCCGGCACCTTTGCTGTGCTCTCTGAAGTGAGAGGGGAGGATCAGATATACTTTGTGGTGCCTTGGAGCCTGGAACTTCTGGGATCCCTCATGGCCGTTTATTCCCCAGGGACGCGTGCATGTCCCCAGCTGGCCTAAGCCAGGATGGGGAAGCCACCACTATAACTCCTGCCCCTTTCCCAGGCCCCCTCCTTGGCCGCTCTGCAGGATGGGGGCAGCCTGGTGGCTGCCAGTCCTGTGTGTCTGCCTGGCCTGTTGACACAGCCTCCTGAGAGTGCCCTGGCAGCATCCACTGTACCACTGTGGGGAGGGGGCCGAGCGGGGGTCCTGCCACCCTGGACACAGTGCTGTGGTGGGAAGTCCCAAGGGCCTTCGGCAGAGCCACAGAGCAGGCGTGAACCAGGCTGGGAAGAAGGCAGGCTGCTCCACCTGGGGCCCACACCTGCACAGTGGAGGCTTATCTCTGGCTTCCTGTCTGTCTGTCTGTCTGCCTCCCTGTCCTGCTGTGATGCACCCTGCCTGCCCACCCACCCCCACCACTGCCAGGGCTGGTGCTGCCCTGCAAGGGTGCAGAGCGAGCCTGCTCCTTCTGCCTTTTTGGGCCAAAGCCCCTGGACCTGGGGTGTCAGAGACCTGGTGGCATCCCAGATCTGGGTGGTGTCTGCCCTGGAGCTTCCTTGGCCACATTTCGACTCAGGAGCAGTCTTTCCAAACAAGGCCTTCCCAGGCACCCCTCAGGGATACCCCAGTCCCACACCCTCCCCGTTCTGCTTCATGCCCTTGCTGTAGCCTCACTCTATGTAACAGCAGCCAGGCTGACCCCAGAGCATGACCACAGCACCCCATCCTCAGCTGCTTTCCCCAGGCCCTCCCCAAGCTGCCCAGGGGACTGGAGAAGATGCCCCCAGCTTCTGTGGCTGGAGCCCTTCCCTCTCCTGAGGTCCCTTTCACCTTGCCTGAGACCGGGTCTTTGGGGATAGCCAGCAGGCCCTGGCCCCTCTGTTAGTGTCTCCACTCTTTCTTCCCTGGGTCCGCCGGCTGGTTCACAGAGCACGGAGGAGCAGCTGGAGGAGCAGCAGCAGCAGGAGGAGGAGGTGGAGGAGGTGGAGGTGGAACAGGTGCAGGTGGAGGCAGATGCACAGGAGAAAGGTGCAGCCAACCCCCAGGAGGATGATTGCTAAGCAAAGTCGGAGCCTCCCGCCCACTCCCTGCTGGAGCCAGCTGCAGAACCGGGGGCCCCGGGGCTGCTGGGGGGGCACCAGGGTTAGCTCAGCCACTTGCCTGGCGCCTCACCCGCATAACCATCCCTTCTCTCACTTTCTCTTTGCAGCCCAGTCATCTCAGGATCCCGCTAACCTTTTCTCCCTCCCACCACTGCCTCCTCCTCCGCTTCCCGCTGGAGGTCCTGCCTCATCTTCATCCACCTCTTCTTCCTCCTGGATCTCATCTGCACCCTGCCTCTTCCCTCTCTGCCCCTGTCCGGGTTTTCTCTCTGCCTGCTCACGCCTCCATCCCGGGTCTGCCCTGGTCCCAGCCTCCCGTGCCCTCCACCCAGGCCCCCTGGCCCTGCATCCCAGAGCGTCCTGCCTACCGCCTCCTGCGCCCCTTCTGGTACCTCCTGCCTCCCAGCCCGGGGAGGAGGGGCGCAGCTGCACCTCCTCTGTGCCCACCAATCCTGCCGGGCACCACTGAGGCTGGGCCCCGGCCGCAGGCCCTGCCCCGCCTCCTCTCCTCCCGGCCTCCTCCTCACGTTTCCTCCTTGCAGGTTCCCGTCCGCACTCTCTCAGACCTGAGGCTGAGCTTGCAGTGAGGGCTTCTCCTCGGCCCCTCGCCCGCCCCCAGAGCTGCCATCCCTGGTTTGTAGCTTGGCGGTGCTGGAGGGAGGGGTGGAGCGAGGAGGGTGCTCTCTCTTGATCCTTGGACTTGAGCCGAGCTTTCGGCTGATTATCTCCACCCACCAAAGTTTCTCATCCGACCTTGGCCTTGGGGGTGAAGCTCTGAGAGAAGAAAGTTAGGGAGTGGGAACTTTCCCACCAGCCCATCAGCACCAGAGCCAGGCTTGCGGGGAGGGAGGGACCCGCTGAAGCCAGAGGCCTTGGCCGAGTCCCTGCACATCCAGGAGCTCCTGTGTCACTGCCTTGTGTCATCCCCTATTTCTGTGGGGATGGGGAGGACAGGCCACTTTTGGATACCCTTGGCCTATGAAGTGTCAGCCAGAGCTGGCTTAAGGATTGCAGAGTGTCAGAAAAAAACCTGACCACATGCCCACAAGCCCCCACCCCACTCTTTTCTTCCTGCTGTGTGACTTTGGGCAAGTCACTGTCCCTCTCTGGGCCACAATTGCCTCTAAAATGGGGACAAACAGCTGCTCTCCGTGGCTCCTTTCGCCTGGGGCATCAGTGCTTTTCCCAGCCTGACCAACCCCCATCACCCCCTTAAGAGTCTTGGCAGAATCTGGCCTCTGCAGGTGGCTGCCACGGAGCCCAAGACAGGGCCTGGGGCTCCTGGATGGGTTAGTTGGGCGCCCTTCCTGCTCCTCCCCCACTCAATTCTGAATCCACCTTCTCTGGGCCTCAGCCCCATCGCCTTCTCCAGAAGGAAGCCTGTGACTCAACTGCCTCTCTCTCTCTCCCTCTCCCCGCCCCTTCAATCTCCTCTCCACCCCCTGGCCCTGCATCACCCCCTCCTTACCGGCCCCACCTCCGTCCCTCCCATCCTCCTGTCCTTCCCCTCTTTTTTTTCTAGCTGTTACAAGCCAGAGGCACCCGGATGTGAGGCCCCAGATCACCTCCAGGGACTTGGGGTTCCCATCTGAAATCCTTTATTTTTGTACCATGGGGTGGGCCCCGGGCCTGAGAAGGAAGAAGCCTCCTCTGTCTGCACCTGTGGGGCTGTGACTTACCCCTGCCTCCAGGGCCGGGGCGGGGCGGGGGCCCCCGGGACCTCTCAAGGCCCAAGGTGGGCCCCAGGATCTCTGGGCAGAGCCGACTGCTCATGGCGGACGTGTGGCAGTGTCTGGCTGTGTCTCTCCAGCCCCCGCGTCCCCTTTCCCGGGCTCCCCTGCTGCATGGCGGACGCACTCCCTCCTGGCCCAGTCACATCGCCTCCTTGAGCCTTAGTCCAGGGGGTAACTCCTCCCACCCCACCTACCTCCCAGGGTTGTTGTGAGGGTGCACAGAGGAGCAAGGTCCCTGAAGGCCCTCGGGCAGTATATAGGGGCCGCCCACCTTCAGCTGCCCTGGGATGGGAAGGACCCAGCCCGACCCCTGGGCGTAACACTGTGTTTGCAAATGGAGATTCAGGTACTGGGGATGGAGGTTGTGGGGAGCTGGCCTGTCAGAGTAGGGGTAGGTGGCTTGGCCTTCACCTTGGTGATCCCATCCCCAGCCATTTGCATTGCTGGCCCAGCGCCTGGCCTGGGGGGCGGGGAGAGGCAGCAGAAGGGGCTGGGCAGGGGCGGTGGAGGACTCAGGAACTGCCCAGGGAGAGTGGGTGTGGCGGCTGAGCCAGCGGCCGTCCTGTGTTTGAATTCCTGGGATGGGTCCTTGCTTCTCGGCTGTGTCGGACCCCACCGTGTAATAAAACCCGAAGGAACAGCCCAGCCTGGCTGTCACCCTCTCTTTCTCTGGGCCACTTTTGGGGAACTCAAGGTGTGGTAGACTGGCCCAGAGGAATGCAGCTTTCTCCTGAAAGCCCAGGGACGCTGCCCTGTTGTCATTTTCCTGGGTGTGTTGCAGGGGGAGGCTTGGGGAACTGGCTATATCCTTTGCCCTGGGGCTAGATACCAAAGCACCTGCCCTACCTGGCCAGAAGCCAGAAAACAGAACTCTAGGGAGAGCCCTGGGCTGCCTCTGCCACATCCTAAACCTCTCAGGACACCGCCACCCCCACTTCTATTTTGACACCTGGGCCACCTCCATCCCTCCCTATTGCTGCCACCCCTCTGCCCGAAATCCCAGAAAATATAAACACCCCGCCCTCTCCTTTCTGTGAGCCTGCTGGACCCAGCCCAGACCCCAGACCTCCACCCACCCTGGCCAGTTCCTTCAACTCCCCAGTCCTGCCGAGTCTCCCCGCTGCTCGAGGAAATCCTGCCGGGCAGTGAGCCCCTAGGGCGCAGGCCCTCCATTGGCTGGGGCAGGGGCACCCTCTTGCCAGCTCAAGCCTGGAGGGCCTCGCCACTTCCCCTAAGGACGTTCCACTTCAAAGCTGGCCTCACTTTTGGGGTCCAACTATCCTTGCAAAAGAGTTGCCAGGAGGCTTGTTAGGAGAACGGATGACACACCCCCCACCCCTCCAGGATTCCGATGAAGACTGGGGTAGGGCCAGGGTGATCCCAGATCACCCAAGGGATTCTGCATATGTTCTGCCCACCTGCTCCGGAGACGCCCCCTGCTCGCCCAGCTGCCCCGGCTCCTCCTGGCAGGACCCAGGTGGGTGCTTCCCGTCCCTGGTTCCCCTTCTACCTCATTCACCCACAGACCTGGCAGCAGCGCCCATGTTGGAAAAACCCCTCTTCAGTCTAGGGCCCCTCTGAAGCTCTGAAGCGCCCTCTGTCCCTTCTGCTCCCAGTTAGGCTTCCAGAAAGAGTTGACCACACTTGACCACCCACCCTCACCTCCAGCGGGCCCCTGACTCCATCACAACTGCCCTCGGGGGTCCGAAATCATCCTCCAGTCCATCCCGTGGCGCCGCTCAGTCCCGGCCCATCCGCTCCTTCCTGGAATCCTGCAGTGGCCTCCTACCCAGCCTCCCTGCCTGCCACTCCCTGCACACTGGTGCCAAGGCTGGTTCCAAAATGTGAATCCACTCATGTCACCCCTATGCTATAGAGCCTACCATGGCTCCGCAGAACTTGCAGGGTCAAATCCTTGGCTCAACTCCAGGCTCTGCTATCCCGCCTCAGTTTGCCCCTCTGAATTCTTCAGTCCTTCCCCTCTCAAGCTCTGTTCTAACACTCACTCGGCTTGCTGGGTCCTAGTGTGTCTCATTCTTCCGGGACTCTGTGCCTTTGCACATGCTCTTCCCCTGCCTGGAATATCCCTCCCGGATATTCCCACCTTGACTACCCCTGAACCCCAGCTCAAGTCTCACAGCCTCCAGGCAGCTTGCCTTGACTTGCCCGGTCCACGCTCCCCTCCGTCCCCTTCCCACTGGATCATCCCCACTGCTCCTGGGGTCAGGAGCCAGGTCCTTCACCCCTGTGGCCCCAGCACAGTGCCTACTCAATGACTCAAAGAATTCAAAGGGAATGAGTGTCGCGCTGGAGGGGGCCATGGCAGATGGGGAACTGGGAGACAGGAGCCTCTGCCACCTCCACTCCTAACCCCCAGTGCCACCATGAGGATGTCTTAACCACCTCTCTGAGCCTGTTTCCTTTAAGGTTCCAAAAGGAGACCATTGCTTCTCACATCCCTCCCTGTGACCTGAGGATCCCCAAACGATTGCCTTCCCAGCATTTCTCCTGGGACCTGGGCAGCTGCCCCAGAGGCCCGAGCCCTCAGTGGCCCTCAGTGGCCACGCCTGCTGCTACTGAGCCCACCTTGGCCTTCTGGACACTTGTCAAACAGGCTGAGCTGGAAGCAGGGACTGCTTCAGTCAAGGGCATGAGGCTGGTGCCCGGGTCCCCATTCAAACTCCAGCAGAGGGGCTTGGATCAGGCAGCTTTATTCCAAAGGGCAGCTGAGCTCACCTGCTGGTGAGGGTCTGGGCTGTGAGGGGCCAGGTGGCAGGCAGGGGTGGGGCAAGGACCCTGGAGTCAGGGCTTCCCCACCTTTTTTGGCTTACGGTGGCAGCTGGCCCACCTGGCAGTCCCCAGGGCTCTGAGGGTCCCCTCCTATGGGGGCAACTTCCATTCCCAGATCCCAAGTTAGACCAGGGGCTTCCAAAGCTAGCATCTGCTCTCTGGAGGCAAGGCTGTCCAAGCAGCCTCTGTACAGAGTGGGGCACACCTCAGACACTCCTGGGGACGTAGAGCCAGCATTCTTGCTGCTGAGCCACTTCCTTGCAATAGGCAGCAGTGGAGGAAGGGGACGGAGGAGAGAGAATCGGGAGGCAGAAGGGCTGGGTGTGGGCCTGGGTCCCCAGGGGACGTCTTGACCCCCAGCTGCTGGCACTCCTCCATCCTCCTGCCATCACTGGAGCAGACATCAGGGACAAGACAAGATGCCACCTCCTGCCACCACAGGGCCTGCTCGTGCCCCCGCCCCCAGAATACTTAGAATACTTGTCCCCCTGCTTGGCAATTGCCCTGGGCTCTCTGAGTCCAGGAGGTGGGACCTGCTCTGCAGGGGGGCAGTTCCTCAGGTCACCACTTGCTGGATCCAGCTGATCACACCTGTGATGCGGGTGTAGACGCCGAAGTAGTTAGGCCGGCCACAGCCCAGGCCCCAGCTGACCAGCCCTGCCAGGAACCAGCGGCCACTGAGTGCCTTGCATACCAGCGGACCACCCGAGTCACCCTGAAAGGGGGAAAGGAGAAAGGACTGAAGCAGGGTAAGGGCACCCCCTTTCCAGGCGAGGGGCCATGGGGATTAAGTCCTGACTGTTGGGAATTGACTGGGTGCCAGAGACTCACGTTCAATCTTAAAGCTCTGCTTTTTCCTCGCCTGCTAAATGGAGAGAACGCAAGCCAGCCCTCCTCGTCCTCCAGCCAGCCTGGGCCCTCCTGGAACTGTGGCTGTGTCCCCACACCCCCACTCTGCCTCCGCCGCCCTTCTGTGGCTGACACGCCTTTCTTCTTCCTTGCATCCACCTCACTGTGGGACCCTGGGCCTAGTGCCTTGTGATGGGCAAGGAGCAGAACTGGGTTTGAGCCTAACACCTGCCCGTCACAGCATCTCTTCTGATCCATGGCTCTGCAACCTTGGGCAAGCTCCTCAACCTTTCCAACCCCCAGTCTCCTCTTCTGTAAAGTGAGGGCGGCCATCGCCACCTTGCTGGGAGGATGGGAGGCTTCAGCAGGCTGATGTGAGCACAGGGCCAGACCCTGATGATGTGAGCAGCATCCTTTCTGCTCTCTCCCTCCCACGCCAGGGGGACTCACCTGGCAGGCATCCTTCTTGCCCTTGCGGTAGCCAGCACACAGCATGCGTGGCGTCACCTGGTAGCGATAGGCCTCGCTGCACAGGTCCTGTGGGATCAACTGCACGTCCACTTTCTGCAGAGCATTGCTGGTGGGGCCTGTCCGTGGTTAAGGGCAGAAGTGAGATCTAAGGAACCTGGAGCCCCTGTTCTCTGTTCTCCCTAACGCTATTCCCTTTGCATCTCAGGAGTCTGCTTCTCTCCTGCTCTGCCCACCCTTACCTCTGCTGGGGTTGCACCTGCCCCTCTGCCTCCCTGTCACTTTATTCTAGCTCTTTCTCTGTGGGGTTCATGGAGACAGAGCCCCTGACCAAAGCCCATGTGGAGAGCCAGGCGCAGTGGCTCACGCCTGTAATCCCAGCACTTTGGGTGGCCGAGGCGGACAGATCACCTGAGGTCAAGAGTTCAAGACCAGCCTGACCAACGTGGAGAAACCCTGTCTCTACTAAAAATACAAAATTAGCTGTGTGTGGTGATGCACGCCTGTAATCCCAGTCACTCAGGAGGTTGAGGCAGGAGAATCGCTTGAACCCAGGAGGCAGAGGTTGTAGTGAGCCAAGATCATACCATTGCACTCCAGCCTGGGCAACAAGAGCGAAACTCCTCAAAAAAAAAAAAAAAAAAAGCCCGTGTGGATGAGTGTCTTACTCCAGCATCTTGTCCCCCACCTCTGTCTGCTCAGGCACCTCTGGGCTCTGGCTGGCTCTTCGCTGCTATGTTACAGCACCTGGGGATGTCTCCAAAGCCCACATCTGACCCCTTCACCATTTCCTTACAACTCTGCGGAGCCCCAACTCTGCAGTCCACCCCAGTGCTTCTCCAGGAGGGCTGCATATCATAGTCCCCTGGGAAGCCTTGATACAAGGGTTTTTCTTGAAGCTCCACGCATGGTTCTAACGTGCAGGTAGGAGGGAGAACTCCTGGCCCAAGATCCTTACACTGGCTGGCAAGGCCCTGTCTGCCCTTCTGGCTGCTCCTTGCCCAGGCACACCTGCCCCCCACCTTGGCCCCTCTGGCAGGCTGCGGATGTTCTCAGGTCTTCCTGTCTTGGCACCTGTGTCTTCACCTGAATGTCTTTTCCCTTTGTCTGGATGTTGCCAACTCATCTTCCAGGCCTCAGCTTAAACAACCCTCCCCTAGAAGCCTCCCTTGACCCTACCTAGGCAGGAACCTCCTCTGTGTCTCCACTGTCCCTACACCTCCCCATCCATGCCAGCCCTTATCACTGTCTGTCTCCCCCGAGAATGTTCTCTCTCCATCCTGATGTACCCTTCCCTTAACCCCATACCTGGTACATAGCTGGTGCTCAGAAAGTGTCATTGAGTGACTGAATGAGTGAAGGAATAGTGAATGAACCAACCTTTGCTTTGCCATGACCTCTGCCATCCCCTTGGGTAAGTCACTGTTCCTCTGAGCCTCAGTTTTCCCATCCTTAAAATATCTCTGCAGCCCTGCCTGCCTCCAGATTGTAAGTCACCGTACACATTTTTGAAGCCACCCACACTAAGGCTGCAGGGC